CACTGGTTTGTCTTGAGGGGCACAGACAGTGGAAGAGTCCAGAGCCAGGTAGTCTGTATGTGGCAAGGCAGAGGAGGGGGCAGACTTGAGCTTAAGATCCCATCCTGCCACTAATTTATGCCGGATGACAGGCAAGTCATGGACTCTCCCTGCCTTAGTTTTCTCATCTGTGAAGTGGGGATGATAAAATAGTCCCTATACTTCAGAGAACCAGTACTGGTGTGTAGTAAGTGCTCAGTAAATGTGTCCTTTCTCCCCACTCCTCCCTTATCCTCCACCCCAAGCAAGTTAGGCATGGACATGTTCCTACTTCTTGGAAGGCGTTACTCACCATCCAGACTCAACTCAAACGTCACCTCCTCTTTGAAGCCCTCTGTACACCCTCCTAGGAGAGCAAATTTTTCCTTTCCTCACCATATACTGCACGTCTCTGGCTTTACATTTGGTTCCAACCATAGGTATTTGTGTAAGGATCTGTCTGAGCTTCTTGAGGGCAAGGGCTGCAATTTATTCACGTAGGAGGACTCAATAAATGCAGAACTGAATATACAACGGTGAACAAATGCACATGCAGTTTGTATAGTTACTGAGTGGCCAGGACCTGGAAGTCTTGATGAATGGACGGATGGCTAGGCCAGGGCTGGGCTGGAGGAAGACAGGACGTGTGGTACTTGCCTCTGCTAAGTTATAAATGGTGGGCTGCAGGCTCAGACATGGTGGGAAAGTACAATGGGCACGTGGTTCTGATGGACCCCAGGTCTCAAGTCTTGGTAGTGCTTTGCCAGTGTTTTGTTTGTTTGTTTTGTTTTTTAAAAAAACCTCTCTTCCCTATGCCAACCCTCAGGCCAGCCTTGTGGGCCAGAGAGCAGAGGAAGCCTAGCAGGATGAGTGGGGCTGACGACCTGGCATGGGTAGCCACGCTGGGAAGCCCACCCCAGGCCAGGGCTAGGGCTTGCCCGTGTTAGGCCAGCACCTTTTCCACCATACACTCCTCACTCTGGCACCACCCTAAGGTCAGGGCTGGTCTGGCTTGGCCCGGAAGCCCCCAGCACCAAGGTCAGAGGGCAGTAAGAAGGATGACTTATGGATTCGGGTCAATATACGAGTCCAAGGGCTTCTGCTGCCTCTTCTTCCAGCAGCTCACAGAAGCCACATGGGCCAGAGGGCCTGAGGGAAGGAAGGGTCCAGCTCATACTCTTTTAAGGGAGACTCTTCCCTTTGTTTGCAGCCTGAAGCCCTTGGTCCAATTTTACTTCTATCCCAGACTTGCTGGCCACCTGATTCCCCCACCCCAACCCCTACTGCTGTGCCAGTCTGGAAGGACTAGGGCTCTCTGTCCCCTCGTCCCCACTGCTGAGTGCCTGGGACCTGGGCTGAGCACTGATGAGTCCTGGTGTGTGAACTGCTTTGAGCTCGGGATGAAAGCCTGCTGGGGAGTGCAAAGTCGCTCTCTGCTTGTTGTTAGTGTTCCTAATGAAACCTGAGGTGCCAGGGAGCAGAGCGTGAGGCACAGGCTGAGTCCCAGAGGGGCAGGAGGACCGCTCCAGGTGCTGGGCTCAGCAGGGTCAGTGAAGGGCCAAGGCCAGAGGTGGAGGCTGCCAAAAGCAACTGCCAGATGTGGCTCAGCCATGTGCACACAGGCAGGCACATCACCACCTCTGACCTGGCCCTGGACAGCCTACAGACAGGAGTTTATCCTAGAAGTCTGGGCACTGTCTTACCAAAGGCAGGAGATGGAAAAGATGAAAGAGAAAGGCCTCGTAAGGATTTCTTTGCTCATGTTCAAATGAGATATGTTCAGAGCTCTCAGCTAGTGATGCTAATCCACCTTCATACCCCAGTGAAGACCAAAGCCTGCCCTCTGCTCTCCTGTGGGCAGACACAGGGTCCCAATTCACATGGGAGCTCCAACAGAGGGGAGCTTTCCATCAAACCCTGACCGGTCTTTCAGGGGGCACACAGAAAAGACTAGTGACTTAGAATCGAATTCCAAAGCCATTCTTCAAAACAACACAGCACTTTCAGGGGTTATCAGTTTCTTTGGGGCCAGCTTTCCCCCCTCCTCCCACCCTAATCCCACAGCTCTCCTCAGATTCTCAAAGACACAGAGCCTGAGGGCTGAGGATCTGTCCTTGCCATGGAGGAGGTGAGATCTGAGAGCAAAGCACATTTCCAGAGGCCTGGAGGGTCAGTCAGTGCCTGGGGCCACACAGGCTGGACCCCAGGTACATGAGTGAGCTTATTATCCAAGCTCACTGCTGCCAAGGCCAGCAAGGCTATGCCAGCCACCCCCACCCCCACCCCCTGGTTTAAGGGAAAATGAGGGATGGGGGAAAACGAGTCCCAGGTAGGGATACCACGACTCTCAGTGAGTCATGGAGTGGAGCTCACACCTGTTGTTCAGCCCCACCCGGCACTCCTGCGTTGAGGAAAACGAAAAGCCCATTTCCCCGTATTGGCCTGAGTTTGTGAGTGTAAGGGATACCCTTTCTGCTATCTGTCAAAGAGGAGGTGGGGGGCTGCTGGATGTGTGGTCAGGAACAAGGAGGCCAATTAATACTTCCTCCTTTTCCCTTCCTTTCCCCCTCCCGCTTTCCAGATTCCCTCCCCCACCTAAGCTGAAGATTTTCATGGATAGCTTGCTCCCACTCTCCATGTTTGCACCTCCCAATCTTTCAACCAAATGTGGGCCCGCCCTGGCTAAGACCCCTCTCCAGCAGCCCAGTGTCTATGTTCTCCCTGGCTTGGGCACTCGGAGCATGAAATGAGAGGACACGGCAGCCTCAGATGGGCCTGGAGGGCAGTTCTGAGGGAGGCCTTGGGCTCTAGAGGCCACTCTTGGCTTAAGCACTTATCCTACCAGGTTTGAATTCAGAACCCCCCACCTCCACCCACTCCTCACCAATCACATAGCAGGGATTTAAGACTATTGCTTCTCATTGACATGGTTTCTCCTGATATCTTGTTTCAGAGCACGACTCTCTCCCATGACTTCCCCATTCCAGAGTGTCCTAGGTCTCCAAAGTTCCTATAGCTCAGGTCTTAGGTCTGTTTGACCAGCCAACTCCCTGAAGGAACTATTCTGAAGAGCTGCCCACTGGGAAGCAGAATGCAAGAGAAAGCAGAGAAGAGACAGCAGGAAAGATTATCATTAGACCTCAAGAAGGACTTCCTCAGGGTAGAAGATGCTGGAAGAGACCACTAAGAGACCTGTGCAATCTCCTACTCATAGCCCACTCCCACCTCTGCCCCAACACATACTCTGTTGTCAGCAGCAGGCATGACAGCTGGTTTCCAAGCAATATTGGTGCCCACCTGCTGAAGCCCACCACATGGTTTGCTACCAGCTTTCCTCCTGCAACCTTGACTTTGGGAGGGAGCCCTTACCTAATCAGCCTTCCAAGATGCCCACACTAGGATGGGTATAGTGGGGTAGGGAGGAGAGGGGTGGCTCACTGAGCCAAATCCATGAATTTTTGATCCTGAAAATAGGCACCCTGAATTCCTTCAGGTCTCAGATTGGAGGTCATCCCACACTACAAGAGCCTAGCTTAAGCTGTCCCACATTAGTATGGCCAGGGCCGACCAACAGCGTCCATTACCTTACGGAGGACTCCTAGACACACTCAACCAGCAGATAGAGGCAAACAGGCTTTCTTTATGAAGAAGAAAACTCGGCCCTTAGCTCCTTGTCTCTACTGGGCTGAAGGTGGTGTTTAACTCCTAGACTTTTCCCAATAAAGAGACCTCAGAGGCTGCCTTGCTACCTCTACCCCCTCCTTATACAGAAATTCAGAAAAGGAAAGGAATTTGGCCAAATTCTCAACTACAACTGAAGCCTCCCAACTCCCAGTCCAGTGCTTTTTGAGACATTTTTATGTTGCAGCTCTGGCAGGAGCTCCAGTAGGGGACAGAGATCCAGTAAAATGGGCATCATTGTCCAGAAATGCTGATTTGAAGCCCCAAGACCTACCTCTGGAACTTATTTTGTGACTTTAACTTTAGTAAGCCTCAACTGCTCCCTTTGTAAAATGGGGCTGGGACCACCTACCCCCAGGATAATTATGAGGATTAAATGGAGATGAAGCCTTTGAATATGCCCAGCCTGCTGATTAGTACAAAATAGGCATTAAAAAAAGGCTTGCCTGCAGAAGAAAAAAGTGAGAATCGGGGGTTTCTCAACTGCATCCCAATAACGCAAGCCTGCTTCTGGAGGGGAGGACACCCTGGCCCATCCATGAAAAGCTCAAAACTGCTGCACCCCGCAGCTGCCCGGGGAGGGCACCAAAGTGGGTCTCAGCACAGGCTCTGCTCACCCAGAGCACCTTCTCACCTCCCTGCCTACGGACAGAACCCAAGGGCCCCAGGGAGCTGCTCCTGAAGACCAGAGGGTGACAAGTGCCTGATGCCTGGTCCAGTTCTGAGGGAAATATCTATCAGAAGCAGCAGCTTCCTACTCCCTGGGGCTTGCCGGAACGGGCATCCCCTTCGAGTCACCGGTGGTGGCAGGCGCTGCTGCCCTTGCTCCAATGGCTGAGCAGAACTCATGGAGGTGTGGCACATGGATAGGAGCGAGCCCAGAGCACAGAGCACAGCCGAGGCCAGGAAGGCAGTGACAGCTCCCTGAGCGCTGTGGACTGGCCAGGCCCTGCGTCTGTCCGTCTGCTGTCTTTCGGTCCTCTCCCCCGGCCCTAATCCGCCCCTCGCTGGGGACTCCTCTCCTGCAGGCCGGTCCACGCGGGTTGCGCCTCTTTCCCGCCCCCTCCGTCCGGACGCTGCGGCCCGGGGTTAGGGGCGCACAGCCACCGATCAGCTCCGGGTGCGTAGTCCCTTGCCCGCCAGCCACGGAGACCCGCTCGCACGCAGGCACTCGCGCCCCTCGGTGCCTGTCACCTCGGCGGCTGCTCACACAGCCCCGGACTCGCAGCGCTGGGGGCGGGCGAGCGGGCGGCAGGTTTCTCCCGGAGAAACGGGTGTCTAGGCGCGCAGAGGTGCCCTACCTTTCTCCCCGGGTTCGGGCTCCCGCTCGCGCCCCCTCTTCTTCCCCTCTCGGTGCTTCTTGCCGCGGCCTCGGCCCTTCCTCCTGGACTCCGACATTCTGCCCGGGGATCCTGGCGGTGGGACGGACGCGAGGCGCGGGAGGCAGGGACGGCCTGAGCTCTCCGCCGCCGCGCTGCGCCCCCGCCGCCTGCAGCCCCGCTGCCCGAGCGCGGCGCCTTTCTTATAGGCGGTCACACCCTCCGGGGGAGGGGAGCAGCGAGCCTTAACTCTTCCCCTCCCGCGCCCGCCGCCCTCGCCCCCCCCGCACCCGCCCTGCTGCGGGCGCCGCGGGCGGCCGGGCCTGGCCCTGGACCCCTCCTCGGGCCCACCGAGGGAGGCAGGACCAGCGCCCAGATGGAGCGCCACAGTCCTCCTAGCCGGGGAGGGGATTGGAGCTGGGCCGGGGGCCTGAGCCGTGACTGGGGAGGGGGAGTAGAGATCCCCCAGCGAGGGCCAGGCTGAGGACAGCATGGGGGTGGGGAGACAGCGAGAGCAGGGCCCAGGAAGGGACCGAAATGAAGCCCACTGGCCAGCCTAGCAGAGTAGGAAGCACTCTCGTTTTTTGCAGTCTGTCTCCACTGCTTCGTGTCCCCACCAGCTCTGTCGGCCCGCCCCGACCCTACGGGCAGTTTGCCTGTGTCTGCTCAACCCTGAAGGTCTGGCCAGCACCCCGTGGGATGCCACCAACTGGGGGGAAAATCTTTTATGCAAGCACCATTTGTGCTTGGCTGCAGGGGTCTCTGGCCCAGGAACCTCTCCCAGCCAGGGCGGGCTGCAGCCTGAGAGAAACCTGGGTGCCCCAGGTGGCTAGTAGCGCCCCCTCCCACACACACTGACAGCCCAGGCTGCCAGCACCAGCTGGCTCTTCTCTTCAAGGTCTCTGATGGTGAATTCAGACACTGGACCTCCCCCGCCCCCTCCCCCGTAGCACGTCTCTCACAAGCCAATGGACAAGGACTGCCAGAAAGGACAGCGTCCTGCCTCCTGCCTGGGTGTGGTGCTGAAAGGGTTACATAGCAAAGGCTCTCCCTCTTCTGGCTCCCAGAAAGCCTGAGCCTGCGGTTTGCCTGCCTCGTTCTGCCTGAGGTGTCCCCTTACAGCCATCCCAACTGGAATCCGAGTCAAAGATCATCTCAGCCAGTCCTCTGCCTCCTCAGGAGAGGGTCCCAAGGCTTCTCTGGATAGTGTCCTCCTTAGGAGGGCCTGGAGCAGGCTAGAACTCTGGGTCAAGGCCAGGGACTCTGAGGCTCCAGGGCTGCCTCGGGGCCTGGCCAGAACTTGAGGCCAAACTGGGGGCAGGGGGTGGGGGTGGACACGGAAAGAGAGAAGATGCAGGCGGTGCCCACGCAGAGGGCTCATCTCCAGTCTCTTGGGGCCTCAAGCCTGTCCCATCAGGGGTTAGCTTTGGGAAGGTAGAGTGTAAGAGATCTCCCACATCCCAACTCAGGTACAGTGAGCACTCCCTTCAATTCATGTAGTATTGCTCTCTGTGAGGTGGTGGCCAGCAGGGGTCCTGGGCAGAGCCAGACTCCAGGGCTCACTCCTGCTCCAAAATCCTACTCACTCAGCTTCCAAATTGATTGGCATTCACATCCATCCCTCCCCAGCCACTCGGTCACTGCCTCAGTTTACACTTTCCTCCTGTCCCACAGACTCTGGTCTCCTTGCCTGAAGTCTTGCCCTCTCAGTTCTGACCTCCTCAAGGCCATCAGAGCGAGCTTGCTAAAACACAAACCAGATCCCTTTACTCACTGTTGCCTATGAGTTAAACCTAAGCTCTTCATTGATAGCCAAAGCTCTATTCCATTGGGTCCCAGCTCAAAGCCTTCTAGCCTCTAATCCTGTGCCTTAGCCACATTTACCTACAAGCCAAACACACCACATTGTCTCCTCTCCATATCTTTGCACGGACTAATCTCTCTTCCCAGAATGGTCTTCCCCCCCTTCCCTTCCTCCCTGCCTGGCCTGGCCAACCTCTCTGTTCAATCATTTAGCAAATATGTAGTAAGACATTGTTTCAGGCCCAGTGCTATGTGCTGGGGATTGGCTGTGAGCAAGACAAACAATGGGCCTACTGACATGAAGATGACAGTCTTGGTGGGGATGGACAAACAACTAATTACACAAATAATGAATTAATTAAAATTTGTGTTAAATATTGAGACATTCACTCAACAGATATTTCTGTATGTTGACATACAGGTTGATAGAGGAAACAGACTGTAGTGAAGAAAGTCTTTCCCTAGGAAATATTTAAACTGGGATTCAAAGAATGAGCAGAAGTTGGCCAGACTAAAGGGAGGTGGGGAAGAGCACTCTGGGCAGAAGAAACAGTATATCCAATGGCTGTGGGGCAGAAAGGAGCTTTTGCGCTTTTGCAAAACCAAAAGACAGCATGGGTATATGTAACTGAGTGTGTATATGGGGGGTGTACGGCTGCATGTAAGGTGTGTGTGTGTGGTGGCTCACGTGTGTGGAAGGACCCTGGACAGGAGGCAAGCAGGGGTCAGACCAAGCAGGACACTGTAGGCCTGGTAATGGCATTGGTGATTATCCTAAGAGCAATGGTCTGCTTCCAAAACTTTTGAAGTAGTTTATGTGAGAGACGGGAGAGGGCAATGATTAGATTCTCTGTTTCCTTAGTACTTTTAATACATATCTATAAGGACACATCGGGCAGGTAGGGTAGAGCTCAGTGGTTGACTGTGTGCTTAGCATGCACAAGGTCCTGGGTTCAGTCCCCAGTATCTCCATTAAAAATAAATAAGTAAACCTAATTACTCCTACTCCCCAAATTAAAAAATTTAAAGAACACATCTCTTAGTTTTTAGTTTCTACCTTTGTCTCCCTCACTAGAGTCAGGCCCCTTTAGGGCCAGGAGCCCAGCACCTGGCACACGGGAGGTGGTCAGTAGGTCCCGGGGGACAGATCAGTGACCCCCCTCCTGCTAGTGAAGAATACATGGGCAGCAGCAAGACGAAACGGCTCCAAGTGGGAGCCTGTAGCCTGCTGGAGGTACCTTCTCCTGGGCAGAGCTCTCCTGGCTCAGTATCCATGCAAGATTCGAGTCGGAAGTGCCACAGGAACTCAGGGAGATGGGGTTTGAAGGAGGTCCTCCAAGGGGTTCCAGTGGATGAGGTACAGCAATGACCTGGGCACTGGCTCAGGAGACAGTGAGCAGACCAGGTTTCTGTTAGGAATCTACGGGCGCTACTGGCAGTTAACCTGGCTCACACTTCCTGGGCGCCTGGTGTGCACCAGGGCTCACAGCGCTGAGCACGTTATACACGTTATTTCTTGCAATGTCCACAACACTCTGGCTGGGTAGGTTCAGTCATTATCCCTGTCCTACAGAAGAGGCAACAGACACTAAGAATGATGAGATTGCTCATTCAAAGTCATGCACCTGGGAAGCTGCAAAGTAAGGACACATAGCCACCTTTCACTAGGGCCTCTTCCCCATTTCGCTCCCCTGCTGTACGCAGGCCAGAGATGCATTCTGACTAGCGGGCTGAGGCTTTTGTAAATGAGGGGAATTCACTGATGATTTCTTGAGACAGGGAGTGACACGAGCATTAGAGAAATTCATCTGACTGGAGTGTGCAGGTTGGATGGGAAAGGGAAGGGAATAGAGGCAAGCGAACCAGTTAAGCAGGTCAACCATTCAATATCTATTTTTTAAATAGAGCCTACTGTGTGCCAGGCTCTAACATTGCAAAGGTCAGGTAAGGAGGGCCTGAACCAGGGGCAAAGACGTTGAAAATATTAGTAGTAAGAGCAGCTTGCATTAAGTATTAACTCACTTCATTCCTTCCAACAGCAGTATGGAGTAGGTCTACCATTATCTCCATTTTGCAGAGGAGGAAACTGAGGCACAGAGAGGAGGAGTTCTTTTTATTTGTCCAAGTCAGGCAACTAGTAAGAGGCAGAGCAGGGGGAAGGCACCCATGCAGCTCGGTGCCCAGAGCCCAGACTCTAGCGTGGCTCCATGGTGGAGCTTAAGAAAATGCGGGAAAGGAGAGCAAGGAGGGAAAGGGCCTCTTCAAGGCCGCTCGCTGGCCTCGGGCCCAGTACAGTCCCCACAGCCCTGTGACGGCTGCTCAGTGCCTTGGTCATGAGCAGGTGGAAGAGAGCCACTCGGCACCACTAGGTGTGCCCGCAGGGCTCCCACTGCCCCGACCTCACAGCTCCTGAAGCAAGGGGCTTCTTGGTGGGGGGGGGCGGGTAGGACAGCAGGCACTCAGAGCACCCCCCCACCTGGACAAGTGTTTCTGCCAGGAGTCTGAAAATGACCCTGGGGGCCAGGGCTGTTGCCATAGGAATGCCTTCCTCTTACCACAGGTTGTGCAATGCCCCGTACAACCTCATGTGGGAGTGAGCTGAACCTGGGGACAGGTCCAGAGACCGCATCACCCAGAAAAGAATCCTCTTGCCCACCCTGGTTTCACAATGGGACACTAATAGTAACATAACAAGTTAATTCAATTCCTTTAAGGAGCAAAAACACAATGTTTAACTGGCTTACAAACTTTTTTTTTCCTTTTTAATATTTTCCCCTCCGCTTTGAGGCTGTGCCATGGGCAAACTTTGAAGTTCAGCAAAGTTTAGACTTGTTTGAGTCATGTGCAAAAATGCCTTTGAGTGAAAAGGGGGGAAAAAAACTACCCTTCCCCCCATCTGAGACTTTGGGGCTCCAAGAGGATTACCTGTAAAATGTTCCTGGAAAGGGGTCTCGGGGACTCACAGAAGGATGGGATCCTCCAGGAGAGCATCAGTGACCTCAGGCCAGGGAGAGTCCTTAGGGCCACCTCCAGCCCCAGGAAAGGGCACCCCTGAGCATGTTCACCTGGGAGTTAAAAGTCCTTGAGGAGGATGAGGCTACCCTTATTTAGCTCCCCCATTTTAGTGCCTCCAAGTCACAAGGCTCCTCTCCCTCACTCCCACCCAGTGAGGCTGCCAGGGGAGGAAATAGATCAATGCCACTCCCTGCAGGACCAGAGAAATTCCCAGTCACCCTGGAGGATTATGCAAGGGCCTGGGAAGCCCGTTACCCCATGACTCCTGGAGACAGTGGGATCCTGGCTAGAGCCAGGCGTGCCCTGAGGAGCACCTGGGGGCCAGTCCCAGCTCACCAGGCCCAGAGAGCGCCTCTCCCAGGACCTGAGCCTGGCCTGGAGCTTCAGCAACCCAATGAGCCACGATTGATTT